AACCCAGGAAGGAATTTTTATTTGATTATCATTAGGTTAGATGGCAGAAAGCAGTAAATCAAATTAATCTTGCTTGAGGATAAAATACTACAGCTTAATATGAATTTGAAAGGGATATAATTTTGATACTTGCCACTGTTACCATAATAGTTTGTGGTTTCATGATTAAAACCTACTTCAATCACTGAATTTTGAATATTGAAAATACTGAATTTTGTGTAGCAGCATAGAAGATAGCAGGAAGATAGAGGACTAAAAATAGAATATTTAAAGTGTAGTAGATACTTTGTCAGAAGAACAAAAATGAAATTGGTACCAAAAGTAAGGTTGGAGCACTCACTACTAAGTGAATAAAGTATAACTACATTAAAGATGATTTAATATATAAATTGTATTCTGCTTTGAAGAAGTGCATTCATATAGGTTGTATCTGTATACTGGGGGTTTTCAGTCTTTGGTAAGATGCTTTCATAATTTTTAAATTATGACTATTTTCATAATTTTTAAAACTATCAAAGGTCTTAATGCTAACATAATTGTGCAGATATTACAAATAGATATTAGTTTCCTAAAGTCATCTTCCCTGACTTATTATACCTTCTCTTATATATCTCATTTCACAATTATTGGGGATTCTTAACTATTTGGTTTTATTTTTGTTTTAATTATATTTTTGAGGCTAGATATATATATATTTTATAGGAGTTAGTTAGCTTTGGACATAGTCCCTTGTTGATAGAAAATTATAAAACTAGAGTTGTCATAAGTATCAATTACTTTAGTTACATCTCTTTAGTAAACTAAAAACCACTTCCTCAAATTTTCTGGGCCTTTCATGCTTAAATAAAACTAGATTCTTAGATTTTTAGAGCCAAGGGCTACCTTATATTCACATATATTGTTATTTCAAAGAGGTGAAAAATGACAACTGGCAACTAATTCAAGGTCATGAAATCTGTATTTGTATCAGAAAAATTCTAGAATCACTATAAGTTGATAATTTATTCCTATTCATATTATTAGCACATCATACCAGGCAGTTTATTTAACCTAGTAGTAGTAATAGTGATAGTAGTATAAACAATCTCTTCCATTTTCTGTGACAGTCTGATCTAGGCACTTTACATAATTTTTTTTTTTTAAGGATTAACAAGTCTGCATATTAGGCAGCATTATCCTCAGGTCATAGGTATAGAGAGGAAATAAAGTAGTTTTAGATAAAGAACTGAGACTCAACTGAATTCTGTGACTTGTCTGAGACACCCAGTTCTGTATCTCCAAAGCTTCTGTTCCTTCTGGTGACGCCAGAGACTGTCACCCCAAGTTTAGTGCCTATCAGAACCACTTAGAGAGCTCTTACAAGACTGAAAACCTCTTACTTTATCCACCTGAAAGTCTACTTACTAGTTATTGTGTTCAGAACACTCTACTTAAGATTTTATTGTTTTGCCATATTTATGAACTACTTAGAGTTTCAAAGCACACAGGTTTTAAATTCAGAGACATGAGTCAGAATCTGTATCTTTAATGATTTGTAATATCTTGATTAAATAAATTCACTTCCTAAATTCCATTTTTCAATCTGTGGAAAATAAGACTTTCTAATAGAAACAACTCAAGTGAAAAGGTTTAACAGGCTGTAAATATTGAAATAATGGTTCTCTGTGTCAGAGATGCATAACCCTGTTAGCAGTTCAAACAGTTTCCGGAATGAGATAAAGTAAGCAGTTCGTTTGGCTGAGTTGAGGGCATTAAAGGGAAAAAAAACCCTTTGCCATGTATAGTCAACACCATCATTTCATAACTGAAATGTTAACAAGAAGAATTGGTAGGAGGACGCTCTTTTAAATTGAATATAATTTGCCTTATAAGAAAGTTACTATCCTTTATTTTTATCTGCTGTATAAAAATTGCCAATGATGTGCTTTACAGACCAACAATTGGAAAGCTCTACCTTTGAGATCAGCTAATGTTGCCCCAGGAAATATTGCAGGGCTGGGTTTTGTGACTTCCCCAGGATTTTATAGCTAGTTAAAATCAGGCTAGTGCTCAAAGAATGTCGATGTTTATCAACATTTTTAACTCTATGTCCCTCGGCTTTAGTTCTTCAGTTTCTTCCATGGCCAAAGTTTTGTCCAGCATTAACCCTGCCATTTGTATGTGAAAACAGTAGGCTTAGGGAACATGCGTTTTTCAGACCAAGATCTTCCCTTTCCCTCCCTCCTAGAATCTGATCATTTTCCCCAAGGGGTCATTGAGTTGGTTTCTCTTCACACCTTGCATCTCAGATTGAGAAACACTGAGATTTTTCTTAGTTTATCATCATTCTAGCTTAGTTGAAGCTGGAGATAAGGCAGAACTGGAGAAGCAATTTGTATAATATGAACAGCCAAGAGGAAAACTGGTATCACACTGCCTGGGTTGGAATCTGAGCTCCACCACTCATTGGTGTGTGAGTTTGAGCGCCTTCTTAAGCCTCAGT